GTAATGTTTCTTGATATAAGATATTTTTTGAGGAGGGTATGTAATTGTGTAAAATGTCATCATCTACCATGAAAAATCATATAGATAAATACTCTAGGCAGCCGGAAATTGAACATTTTAATACATTGCTAAGGGCAAAATTAACATAAATTACAAGGCTATATTACCAAATTTCCCCGTATCTGCCTGGCAATATTTCATTCGTCAAACATTTTTTTTATTTTTTCTAATTTTGAGTAAAAATAGTGAATTATGTATGTTTTATTAACTGTTAATTTGTAAAACCGTAGCAACCGGTATCTTTTCATCACCAGTTCGCACGATTTTGTTTTTCGCAATTGGTTAAGAAAAGTAGAACGTTTCGTCATTGTTATCAGTTTTGAAATGTGTCAAAAGTGTTGACTTTAACAATCAAAATTGGAAAAAATATTTTTTATTACTACTAACCTGAGAAGTCACTATTATTTACTTTACTCATAAATACTCACTTTATATGTCAAAACAATAAACTTAATTAATTAAAATTAGAAAAAAAGCTGTGCGCGTCTCGTAAAATAACTATATTAACGCACAAAAATACGAACGTTGTATAATACATAATCTTGTATAATACAACAAGCAAGGAAAAAGATAGTGAGATTCCTAATTAGAGTATCTTTGTCCTCGTTCGTTGTTACACATAGATTTTGGAACCAAAATGAACCAAAAAAAAACCGGAACCGGAACGGAACCGAGTTGGAAATTATTTTCTAAACCGGAACCGTAACGGAACCGAAATTTTCAATTTTGCCTTGGACCGAAACCGGAACGGAACAGTTATTTCGTATCGGTCGGGGTCCGTGTTTAGAGGCCTTAAGTATGTGCGTAGAGGGCGACAGTACATTTAAAGAAGTCCGCTTTTCCAGACACCTTATACATTATAAAGATTTTAATGGTAACCTGAGAAAATGTTTTAATTAACCTGCAAAAATTCTTACCTTCGGTGACTAGTAGTGATCATAGTAATTGAACACTTGTCTGCACATGCCTCTTAGAGGAATCTCGCCCTCTCCACACTTGTTCACAAATTGATAGCCCATTTTGGTGAAATTGCGAGGCAAATTGTTGGGTGCACCCTGTATTTGCAGCGCAATAAAAACAGCAATTAGAAAAATTACTTTTACTAGCTTTCCCATGGTCAGCAGAGGTCTCCACCACAATCGCGGTTAAAAATATTGAATCGCTTTTATCATGTACTACGACAGAGCTAATAATGATTTGTTTGTGTTACAGCACTAACGATAAGAAGCGATTTGTGTGTGAATATTAAATACGCCACAATAATTGGTCATGCTTTATTATAGACTGGCTGGAATCCAGGCGGGTTTGAATGAACTCACACCAACTTGCTACTGCGAAATTTTGCTCAACTTGGGATGATTTATGAATATTATTGACCTTTCTTCCCGTAGAGGCAGTGATTGAGCTTTTCTTAATCAGTGTTAAATTATTAAATAAACTCTGGCCACATGGTGTGAGTGGCTTGACATCGTCAATCACATGCATCTACTTAATCTTGTTAAGATTTGACGAGGCTTAATAAAAATGCTGTTGTGGAAATTCCCGACCATTTAATTCCAATTAAACCCGGTCGAGCATGAGCAATGTGTTTCGGTGAATTTATGAATGAACGAATTACTAAATATTAATCTGGCTGTCTCTGGATGTGGTCTGGATATTCAATGTCAGACGGCTGTGCAGTTAAAAAATTGATAAAAAAATCGGTCGTTTTATTTTGCATTACCTTATTTACAAACACCTTGTATAAAACTATCTTAAGTAACATAATTCACTTAGTGGCATGTGAACAGCGACTGATTCATAAGCTCTTAGACTACAATAAATAATAATTTAATTAATATGTACAGCTCGGAAGATCCTCGCTCGGCCAGGACATCCTTTGGGTCGAATTTCTAAAAAGTAAAAACCTGGTCAAAACCAAACAAACAAACAAAGCAAATAGCTGAACGATGACAAATGAACTAAAAATACCGTCTGACCCTTTTGCTGAATGAAATCCGAGTCGAATACATTTTCATAATTAGCGTATTTGATTCATTAATTTTATCGGGAGGTTCAGAGGTTGCACATCCTCTTTCGTAATTTCGGCCAAATGTTGGAAATTTCCTTTCAAATTTTTTTATCGGTCAAAGCATTCAAGTGATCTTATAGTTTCAGGCGAATCTGGGTCACTTCTAATCACTTGGGCAAAAAAACTCCTAATTTGATCCAAATCGCATGCAAACGTTGAAGCGAATTTCAGTTCTGACTTTAAACACTGATTTTGTTTATTAAATTTGGCTTTTTGCAATCGGTTGTTTCTAACGCACGAATTCTCTCAAAATGATATCGATTGGACGTTTCATAGTGCAAGCACAAGTTTTTCGTCGTGTCAATTAAGAAACTATTTTCAAATTGGAAATTTGATTGTAACCAGCGTTTTTGCGCGACTTTTCAGGTGTAAATTGATCTAATTATAATGAGCCAAAGTTGCTAAAAACTACATTCCACAAAAGAAATTTCCCTAAGTGCAAGATAAACTCATTACATTTCAGTGGCAATAGTTTTGGATTCCAATTTTTACCATTTAAAACATTTTTTAGACTAATTTGCCCAATTCGAGAAAATTTCACATGTGTGCAACATATGAGAAGATTGCGCTTAAAATCTAGCATTAAAAAATACTATCTTGCGCGAAAATAAGAGAATAAAAAATATTTAGTAGCTTGCTTTCCGTTAATAAATACACTTGCTTAAAATCCTCATCATTTCGGAGAGATAAGAATTAAAAACATATTTTTATTATTTATTTTATCGTTATTTTTTGTTGGCAGCTTTAAATATTTTCTGCTAATTTTGTCCTTCACTTTTTTGAGATTAATATTTTCAGTTGCCTCATATACGCATATTGCGGTTGCTAGTAAATAAAATAGTCAATTGTGACTATAAATCTAGGATTTCTAATACAGAAGCCAAATCTATTTCAACCCTCTTGAAAATTGCTCTAAAAATTGCACCCCCCGAAAGAAATCGAACTTTTTCCTTGCAATTCGATCCAAAGCACCACTTTTCCTAACTTAAATAGAAAGTAGGTAAACCTTAAGAAGCCGAGGAAAGTAAAATATTGAAATTTTCAGGCTGAATTACATTGCATTTATAGAGTATTTACATTTGCAAGCATTTTTTGAAATTAATCGAATAGAAGAACGATTAATATTCACAGTTTTCCAAATTAATTGAAAAAGAAAAAAACAAAAACACTTGTATTGATAAAACCATTTCTAAATACCTAACGTTAAAGCAAGATGGTTAAACATTTCTTAAAATATTGTTGGAATTAGTATAAAATATAGAAATCATTGTTGGATTTTCTAGCTAAATTATAGTTAGAGAATTGAAGCGAAAATATATGTAACTCATCAAAAATGCAAATTTCAAATCGAAAACTACTTTATTCACAATTTTCCTCCAAAACTAATGTGTTTAGAGACAATAAATATGGTTCTTAGATCAACGAAGTAGCGTGTTTTGAGACATTAAGAAGGAAGTGTCTATCTAGACGGAGTTAAATCATATTTTCGATTTGCTGCATTTGACTTAAAACAAATAAACTGTTTAAAGCTGAAAATGACCGTTCTAAACGAAATGAAAGAAATACGTTCCGGTTAATTTCAGATTGAACTGCAATAATGGACTAATTTCAAAGAGTGAGTCTGGATAATTTTTCATTTTCCAATTCGAGTACTGAAGCCAAAAAGAATTGGCTAAACTTGCGTCTTTTTGCGTTGACCTTTTCTTATCACTTTTTTCTTCTCCGGGCTGATTAGCCGTAAAAATCTGCAGCTGAGTGCTGTTAGGGACAATTATCGAACCGTATGCAATCCGAATAAGTTAGGCATTAATAAGTCAGAGATAAATTATTTCAGGCTTCAATTAGAGGAAATATCTAACAAGAAGAAACTAAAGTTGGTTCTACTTGAAACTGAAAAAAAATAAAAATTCAATAGCTTGTTGCTTAAAACCCAGGCGATAGTCGTAAAATCCTTAACTTTTCCCTGACTCGATTGCCATTAAATAAAACCGATTTCCTCATTCACGAACGTGGCTAGCATCGGTTGTCGTATTCGCACACATACGAGTCTATGTGAGATGCACGATGGCCTGCGTGTTGCCACGTTCCAACTTGACACCTTCACAGCTTAAAATATAGATCCGTTTTGGTAGTGACAAATACTTTTACTTCTGGTCTTCGTTTTGACCAACAAATTAGCGAGACAACTATGCGATATCCATCGATCCTTAATTAAAAACAAAACTTTTGAACATATTTATAAGCGTTAAAAATTTACGTTAAGTTTTGATGGTTTTTTTTTTCTAAGATAGTCGGTGCTGGAAATGTTGGTATGGAAAAAAGCATTGCTTTGGACTGAAAGAGATTTGCGCCATTAGTGAGGGTTTTTTGGGTATATTTTTAATTCAGGTTTTGTGTCAATTTTCACACACATTTTCTCCTAAACTCCCAACTTTAGCAGTTTGTTGTGCTGAATACGAAATTAAACTTTCGGCAAAACACCAAATTAATGGTTAACATTGCATACATTTTCAAGAGGGTTTCTTATTTAAAAGCTTTTGTTGTAATGTCGAAACTATTTCTTAATTTCATAGATAGATGAATCATCACGCAGCATCTTAGGCTTTCAGCTACCGGAAAGCATTTTATAGTTCTGACCAGTTTGATTTGGATATTTGCTGCGTCTTCCAAATCGAAAACGGGATTTTTTTTCTGCTCCGGAGAATTATTCCGGCTCACGACCGAATGGAAATAACGGTGATCAACTATGCAAAATCCTGCTCGAAGGACCAAAACCGCGATTTTCTGACCGATTGTCTAAATATGCAAACAACGAATTTTTCAAAATATATTGGCTATTGTTTGGTCATCATATTGCTTATACAGGGTGTTTTTGCTTTTGACGTCTTCAGTTTTTCAAGAGGAATGTCTTTAAAATATTGGTCGTTTTGTTATAGTTGTACGTAAAACTGTTGCGGTATGAGTTTCTTAGTTTTAATTGCTGGTATTTGCAGAATAAAACCAATTATCTGTTTTGCTTAAGAATTTGCATTTTGTGTACTTTTGCTTGTGATAATTCGCTAAACAAATCCGCGTATAAGYAATCGTAATCTACTGTTTAATTTTTTTTRGYTAGTTTTTTTTAGTCAAGTTTRTTAGTTTATCGTTCTCACACTAAAATTTCCTGTTTTCTTGAAKSTGCTCTRAATGTTTCTAAAGGCAAATAACATTCGATTTATAAAGTTACATACAGGATGGTTTTTTARTGCGAYAGAGTCCATTATTTCCGTTGGWGTTGAACTTTCGAAAAATAGTKTTATATAAAAGTTGTTGACGCACAAAGTGCGCACATTTTAAAAATATCTTATATGATACAGAGTGTCTCAGAAAAGCAAGRMAAGATCAACGTGTATTTTTTAAATAGAACTACGCATTTTTCATTAGCTCATGGAATGCAGCTTGAAACGCTRCATATGCACCGTAAATTGYTTTTTTCTTACTTGYGACGTTGGCAGATTATCGCCATTTTAGTAAAATTTTGGTTAAAAACATGGTATCTAAAAATTCATTGTAGAAGCAAAAAATACGTYTTTCCAATCACCACAGATCCATTACGAATTCTATTGAACCAAAATACCAATACATTRTACAGGGTGTTAACAATGTGGACTTCAATCTAAAACTTTTTAACGCAATATAACTTTTGTTTTTCAAATGGAAGTACCTGTATATTAATACGTCATTAGATATACAATTTACAAAGTTACAAATTTGCATTTACACTTTAAGCTGTGAAATCAACCGTTTTCAAATTATAAATTATTTTATTTAAAAATTTAACAAAAAGTTGTTACATTTTGTAAGGTGGCTATGGAAGTCATTAAATAAGTATCATATCGATATTTTTTATTATTACTATTTATATATTTTTCCTTGCCTCGCTTTTCTGAGACACTCTGTTTCATATAAGATATTTTTAAAATGTGTGCTCTTTGTGCGTCAACAACTTTTATATGAAACTATTTTTCGAAAGTTCAACACCATCGGAAATAATGGACTCTATGACACTAAAAAGTCACCCTGTATATGACATCCGTGCAAGTAATCTATGCTGTTTAAATCGGGTCATTTGGGAGGCCCTGGTAGAGGTCCATCACTTGTCCTTATGTGTTTCATTGAGAATTTTCCAAGCAAGTAAAATCTGATTTAGGAAGAGAAGAAATTAAAGTCGACAATTGAGGCTTGTGAAAAATCGTGCTACCCAAGTTCAAAAGCAAATCTTTGAAGTTAATAAAAACAAGAGATTTTGGTCATTTTTTCGGGAAAAAGATGTCAGATATGGAAAAACTGCTGAGAAAGTAAAAAAAATTGGGAATCCAAAACGAGTAATAATTGCGAGTTTGATAATTAGCTTAGGACGCGCCCGTCAAAAATTTAGGAGGAAAAAGTATCAAGGGGTATTTAACATTTGTTCGATAAAAAGTGGCTGCTTACCTTTAATCAAAATATCTCTTTGCACGTGCCATTTACCCTCTCAAAGCCATAAAGGCAGACCATTTCAGTGGTGGTAGTGGTGGTGGTGGTACCAACTTTCACTACAGTAGCGCCAATAGAGTCCGCTAAGGGTTTGGCCATGCCATACATTTGCACAGTCAAGACAACGATCAGACAGAGCAACAACTTGGGCAACATTACGTGAAGCAAACTCATCCTGAAGAGACCGCAAAGTTTCGGCAGAGGAACGGCCAGATGCTATTGGCGAGCAAGACGAAAAAAGACTGTTAAGTTTTTCAAGACAAGGCGTGTGTGTACATTTCGGAATTGTTTCTTGCGTACGGGACTTAAGCGCGGTTCACACTCAAGCTGCATGGATTTATATTATTTCGCACACTGACGCGGTTTGGTGAAGGCTGGAATGAGGCAGTGTGTTTCCCAGAGTGACTCAACAGAGTCTCTTTCTGACTGCATTTTAAGTGAGCATTATTGATGCATTTGTATATAAGCTGAGTGATGGTGCACTTTATAACTGCCGGATTTCGGCGTTGTTTTTAATTTTCCTTTAAAGAACACTTAAAATAAAGCACATTCAGCAAAAAAAAATGCGTATGGTCCATAAATTTGCAGAAAAAAAACACTTACAAACTTTTAAAAATCATATCTAGACGACCCGGCATTTATCGTTGAAAATGTGATTTCCCAGATACTATTAAATCATGTTTTAAGAACTAACAATTGATGATTCGACACACACAATTTGACCTATGATGCCTTGCAATAAATATTTGCAAAATTCTGAAACCTATTTCAAACCTGATGATTGATTGGGTATATGTTCATCACGTCTTCTACTCATTTTGGGCGGCATTGCATGGAATGTCTGATAAATTGGACTTCAGAAATTAAACAGAATCCAATGTTGCCACTTATTTAACCCATGCATAATTATGTATACTTGCACTTTCCGAGAAGAGAAATTTCATTTAAATAACTGGAATATGTTTGAGGAAATATGTTCATAAGGAGAAAATATGGTCAAACATATTAATTAAAATCAGATAAATGAATTAAAAATGAACAATGAACCTACACTAACCCAAGATCAACGCATCTTTAAGCCTTACAACATTAATAATGAGTAGTCTGTGATAACCCAAACTTACAGCACTCACATGAAAGTATACTATTCCATTTAGTTATAACCATTTTGTGCAGTCTGGCAACTGCACAACATATGGCATAAATATGAGCACAATATGGAGATTTTTTAAAAGTTTGTAAATGTTTTCTAGCGTGATTCGATGGACCATCCGCATTTTTATCCTGAATGTGCTTTATTTTAAGCGTACTTTAAGGGAAAATTAAAAAGAACGCCGAAATCCGCCAGATATAAGTGTACCTTACCTGTAAGCTCAAACGAGAGATTGATACTTGATTGAATAATATTCTAATCTTCTCTTTGACTGTTTTTTTGTTTAGTAAAACAGCTAATTTTGGATATTTTAGACACAAGCTGTTCAACGAGGAAGCGAGTGCTCAGTTCTTAGTTGTTGAGGAATTCTAAGAATTACACTAGAAAACTCAAAATTTTCCAATTTTATGGAATCTGAGATTACTAAATTCGAGTTCTTCTAAATAGGATTCATTTTTGATATTTTAAAGTGTCATTGGTTGCTCAGGTCTATTTGCTACACATTTTCAAAGTTCGAATTTCTCACATCAAACCCTTAATTTCATTACTTGAATTTGTTTGTCCTCTTTATAGTGAGAATAGACAGACTAGCAAAGAACATGAAAGTCCAGTCGAAACCAAGCCTTATTCTTCCGGCAATAAATTACGCCTAATCAGAACGACGAGAATCATTTTATTCCTATAAAATAGATAGATAGGTCAAAAGCTTAAAGTTTCGGGTTCATACACATTATTGTCACCACCACATGTGCTTAACACTTGCGCTGGTTTTTTTCCCAAGAACAGCCAGCGTTTAACACTTTTCGTCTAGTCATCAATTTAAGTAGAGCAACTGGACAAATATAATGGCGGATTTTGTTGCAGTTAAAGCACAGTTTTGCGATGAATGTTGTGTTTTCAATAACAAGACCAGATGTACAAAGAGAGAACCAGGATTTCGTAATGATCAAAATATTATGGTTTTCATACCGATACTGAGAACTATACATACATACACGCAGGCTGTTTATTTGCAAATGTTTGGGATTTTATTTGAATATAGTGTGGCCCAAATTTCATCAAATACCCACTTGTTTTAATGTTTGTTTAAATTGAAGCGATAGGAAATTCGTACACAATGTCTATTCGATTTCTTCATTATTAGAAATATGGAATCAAGTGATATGGAAAAATTAAACGAGTTGTAAATAAACTACTGACTTATCATATCATCTAAACGAATGTTAAGTTCTGGGTTCTCGACAATTAATGTGCCCCCATAAGCGTCAAAAGCAAATATGCATATTCTAGTTAAGGCGCGTAATTATACCTCTGATCTCGGCTTAGGTAATATCAATAATACATAAATCAAATTAAATTAAATTTGGTTTTGATTAGATTAATCCGAGTTGAAATAATACAAACTGGAAACTCTCTGAACTAACCGCATCTTTTAATTGAAACGCAGACATAAAACACCAGTACTGCCTTGAGCTTTCAAGTGATTTTGTCGTCAAGTAAATCAACGTTAATGAGAAATAAAGTAAAAGAGACAAATAATTAAGTCGTTCCTCAGACATTCATTCTGCAAACAAACTAGACCCAAATCAATAAAGATTTGTAATTTTAACACTCGTAACGATCTCGCATTTTGCATTTTAAGCTCTTTTATTTTCGGTTGTTTGACTCTTGAAATTTGTTTGTTTACAAATGAACCTATACGAAGTAGTAATTTTCTTAAACACTAGGTAACCATGCGGACATTAGATAAAACGAATAAACATTAAATAAAGCTACACATTTATCAAGATGTAATTAAATAAAACCACTCTATTTAATTTACATGTTCGTGGTATTGTTATTTTAACTTAATTGCTGATTTTTCAATTGTGCTTTTTTAATCAATTAGTTGGAAAAATCAATTATTTACATTCAACAATTATCCTCGCTTGGTGTTTAGACATTTAAGAGTAAAGACCACCCACAGACCACCGAAGGCAAACGGAGGACAAGAAAACTAAAGAAAATTGAAACATTGAGAAAAATAGATAGATTTTCAAAAATTATCCATTTGGCTGAAAGTTCAATCTGTGTAGACACTTTTTTGTTCTTTGACAATTTTTGGATAATAACAGCCGTCTTGAGGAAAATTGCTAAAAGTAAACGACTGCATATGAATCTGTTGGGTACACGTTGCTTTGACAACTTTTGTAGATTATGTTTCAATAAGTTATTTCTGCGGAACTGGTCTGACCAGGAAAGTCCTTATGACTGCTTTTAAGAGAATGCGTTTTTGTGTAGGTACTTATGCCCTAAAGTTGATCTCAGTGGCAACTTTTTACGAGGTTTTACGATTTATTGAACAGCCGACAGCAATTTTCTAGTGTGTGCGTCAGCATTTTGTACACTGCACTTTTTTCTACTGTAAATCGCGACTTTTTCTTTATTAATTTCGTGTTTGTGTACACTTTAATTTCACTTTTGTGTACTACAGCCGTAAAGTTGAAATTGGTTGCAGTTTTTTCTAAGATTTTACAAAATTTTCAACGTATGACTTAAATTTTAGAGCAATAACTCTGGACTGACTTTTAATAATTCAGTCCTGCGGAAGCAACGGTGTGAAGAAAATCTCTTCCACGACATTTCATCGAACACACGAGCCTTCTATTGACACGATAAAGATTAACTCCAATAATCGCGATGTTTTATGAGTTTTGTAAAATTTTTACAAACAAACAGAGTTTTAATCATGTAATCCCGCAGCACCGATCGAACTAAAAAATTGTTTGTGACGGTATTTCGGAGAACGCACTATTTTTTTGGGATTTTGCAAACTTTTCAAAATGTGAATGTGATTTCCGAGCATCAACTCGATGCACATCATTTTAAAAATTCATTTCTGCTAAAGTGATCGGGCAAAGAAAATTTTTCGAGGCGGCATTTGATGAAACGCACTTTCGTTACAATCGCAAAAGTTTTCACGAATTTTTAACGTTCAAACAGCAGCTCATTACAGACTAAATTTTAATAATACAGTTCTGCGGACGCTACGCGACACGCCGATTATTTCATTGATGTCATAAATTTCAGCGAAAACCCGGTTTCTTCTTAGTTTTCTCGAATTTTTGAACATTTGAGTGCAATTTTCAAGCCAGAACTCGTTCCAGACTTTCAGAACCCTTCAAAATAAAAAGTGACTCTAACCGCATTTAAAAAAACGCACTTTCTACTGCAGCTGTCGGAAAGTTCAGCTCAATTTCGATTTCTTCTATTAAAATTGGGCAAAAAAAACATGAATGTGCCACGACATTTCATAGAACCAATTTTCTACAATTGTTGCCGTAAAGTTGAGTTCAATCGAGACGTTTTCTGAGTTTTTGGCAGTGTTAGAACATATAAGTGTAAATTTCGGTCAACTCGTTACAGGCAGAGCTACAATAATTTATTCTGCTGGAACCGAGCGATCTAAGAAATTGTTAGCCACAGTATTTCAGTGAACGGAAATTCTGCCACTTTCTACTTATTTTCGAATTTTTTAACATAGTGCGATTTTCGAGCGGCAACTCGCTGCACAAAATTTCAATAATTTATTCCTGCAGAAGTGACAGAGCTGTAAAATATATGTGGCGGCATTTCATATGACTTTTGTCCAGATATGCCGAAAAAATGTTTTTGTTAGTTTTTATGATTTTGTCAACCTACGAACGCATTTTCGATCCAACTCGTTGCAGACTGTTTTCATTACTTATTCGTGCGGAAGCAAGCAAGTGAAGACATTTTTCGCGTCGAAATTTAAAAAAATGCACGTTTGTCTACTGATGCCGCAAAATTAGCTCGATAACGACATGAAGGTTTTGAATTTTTGCGTATTTTGAGTGCGTTATACGAGTGCGATTTCAATAATTTATTTTTCGGGACTAATCTTGCTATGAGTGCCATTGACGCTATTTCATAGAATTACCGCCGTAAAGAACACATTTTTCAAGGCCATCAAGTTTTTCTCAATCGCAACTTAATCTGAGTTTTTACGAATTTTTCAATATCTGAGTACAAATTTTGAGCGGCAACCCGGTGCAGGCTAAGTTTTAATAATTTACTTACCTACTCTACCTGTCCTATTCATTCCGTAAAGTTCTGGTCAGTCTAGGTTTTTTCTGAAATTTAGCGAATTTTTAAATATCTGATTGCAATTTGAGAGCTGCCACTCTTTTGAATGATTTCGATCATCCAAAGCTCAATTTGGAATTGCTTGTAATGGGCGTAACGCCTTAAGAATAGCCAGTTGAGGACTTTATTTAAAAAAATCCCATTTTGTTGGAGTATGATTGAAATAATTCTTGTTCAAAACCCACAATTCACACCATATTAAAAAAACTGTAAAATATACATACCTTTTACTTAAACATACTTCTACTGATTCACTTCTGCACATTTCACTGAACAGCAACTGACGCTTTAAGGGCGCGCTCTGCGCACTTAACTTATTTTTTGTGTTGCTTTATTGTGCAGCAAAACCAAAAAAGGCATTGTCTTCGAAAATGAAAAGTAATAAGAAACTGGGCGAGCAACGGTCTTACGACCATCCAGGGAACAAATTCCGATAAATGTAATTACCTGGATGTGAAATATGCCCCAGCTGAATATAAACGTTTATTTTTCAGCCTTCCTTTCTGACTACAAATCAAGGAAGCGCATGTTTTTGCAGGTTTATCTGACTGCTCTTAATAACCGGGCATCTGGAGCTGCCCAATTCCTGCCCAAATAAATATATAAGTAAATAGAAAATACGATTTCCTTTGTGAAATACCCGACGGCGTAAATATAATGCCCCGACGGGCATAAATCTGGGTCCAGTCAAAAACATGGGATTTTTCTATAAAGCGAAATATTGTGAATGGTATTGCTGTGAAATAGGGGCTCATAATTCAGCAGGCGACAGGGAACCTTCGTATTTTTAAACCGTTTAAATCAATTCCGGTTATTTGAACCTATCTAATGGATTTTTTGTTGTTTCAGCAGGACAGGTATGTGGAAATTTGTTTAAATAATACCTGTTCGATTTAACAATTACCCCAGAGCGGAACTATTGAGTAAACTACATTTTTCCTATTACTACTGCTAGTGGCCGACATCCAAATTTATCTTCCAAACTCTACCAGTTGCGGTGTTTATATGAAACAACCAGCTATTTAAATGGCTTTTTTATTACCTCGGTACATTTGCAAATTAAATTCAATATTTTACAACAATTAATCAACAATGGTAGTTCTGCACTTGAGGTATCCATCCTACCGACATGGGGTTGTATACAAGCGCTTTACAGTCGGAAGAATCGGTACCCAACAACCCAAATTGTGACCTTATTCTGTATATTTATTTATAGTATATATTTGTTCTAAATGTACAATGCGTTCACTAAAGTAAGTCATAAAGTAGTACTTATCCCTAATATGTAACAGAGAGTTGGAAACCGGAAATTCTGCAGACAGATTTCTCCGCAAAATCCGTCCAGAGAATTGGTGTGCTTTTTGCAGCGCTTGTAATCTTAGGCCTCAACTGAAGAACGAAATATCCTAAAGCTACACAAAGCAGTTCACTATTTTTTTTATTCGATAATTATTTATTTTAGATTTTCGAGGTGATTGTGTCTGGTCGTAATTTGCCTGGGCCAATTAACGGCTTTCAATCAAATGAACAGTCGCTTATTGGTCGTGATTGTTTGGCGCGTCTTACGACCCCTGCAACTCGACTAATTTACTATGGATTTCCACACATCTCGCACATCCTCAATATTATTTAAAATTAGCGTTTGATATGTCTCGAATTTGTGTGTGATTTTCACTCAACATTCACTTTTAATGGCAATGTAATATCTGTCGCAAATCGGGGAATCATCGCAGAGACACAACACGCAACAAGTGTCTTCTACTGACCAATAAATCAACGCAAATTGGGACGAAAATAATGAAATGAGAAAGTGAACAGAAAAAAAATTGCAAATAATAAAGCAAAACAAACAACTACATGTTGCACTGTTTAAGCTCCACTTAGCCTTCAGGTGGATGCATTTAAAAAATGTTCCAATGCTTTAATAATATCGTCTATTTTCTGGTTTGTTGCACTTGCCAAACATGACACCGCTACAACACAAATAATGACGAAATCTATTCATTCACCTAGCAGATCTCATCAAAACACTTAAAAATTGCGTGTTTTCATTTAATTCATTTTATTCGGTACTTATCTTTTATCTCGGTTCTTTACCTCGCTCTTATCGTTGTCGTTACTCACATGTAAATGATTCGTCAGTAAATTTTGCAGAACGCAAAAGGCCTTCGAGAACTTCGACAAAATTAAACCCAAAACAACGAACAAGAAGAAAGGCTTATTTGGAAATATCTAAGTTTAGATCTGCAAAAACTGGCAAACAAGCGTTTTCTGTTAAACAGTTATACCCTCATCCTTATCGTTTATCGTCGAGTATCATCTTAAAAACATCACATATTTTCTTCTGAGTTTCTGACTGCAAATTCGATAATTTAAAACTCACCTTTGCCGTTTAGCTTGATCGCATCTCTAGTTCCTCTAGTCGTTTATCACCGCACAAGAATAAATAAATCAACAAGGGGGAAAAATCGGTCCAACTCTGTGAAAGTCTGCTAAACGGCAACAAAAGCTTGATAAAAGTCTTGAAAAACTCTTATCGTTTATCACACACCTTGATGCAATGTATACAATGTATACTTTTATTTTTCTCTTGTTTTATTGCGGATTCATTCAATTATCGCATGCAAACACACTGTGGGCGGATATTGGAATAGTAAAGATTTTTTTAAATCTCTTAAAATGACAATAACCAGGGCAAATAGGCTTCTAAATTGGCTACCGTTCCTCAAATAATGCATGAATAGTTCTCGCTTTATTAATTCCAGAGTTTTATGAAACTATGGCCAAATAAGTAGGACATTTCCAAAAGAAGAACAATTTCGTTAAATGTACATCTTTTCCCCAAGTTTTGTTATCGAAAAAGTACTTTGCTTCCAGGTCACAAGGGTAAGGAAAACATCGCATACGCTCTAAAAAACATAAAATTAATTTGATTGTTCCACTGATCGTGTTTCAAATGAAGATGAAAAGTTACAAAAAATTAAAATCTGGTGCAACAAATTTGCTCCGACCATGAACAAATGGAAGCTGAACTGGAATTCTTCAGTTGAAAATCATTTAAAAGTGGGACATCAGGACGCAAGAAGCAACTTGCACAGAACGAACTGAGGAATTTGGAGCAGAATTAACAACCTTGTTCCCATTACGAATGATGCAAGAATCAGATTGCAAACGAAAAAAGTTGCCAGAAATTTTGAAAAACTAATTACTGTGATGTTTGTGATTTGTTTTTATTTAAATTCCGATTCATTTCAAATAACTGACATTTTTCGATAATCTAAATAGTTCGTCGTTTAATTGCTTCGGACCAGGACAAGTTAATTGAACTTCAGCTGCCCAGTTAGTGAACATGTTATGTTGATCTCTTTCCTCATAGCCACATTTCAAAACTTGGTGTCTAAAGGCAAAAGAGGAATTTTGGATTTATCAACACCATGAAAATGGAAAGATTCATAGCTAAATCCGAATAAGTAGAAAACTATAAAATTATCGTTCATATTTTGCATACCAAAAAAATTTAAATTTACTTGAGAAAACAAAAATAAAATAAAATGTAAGGTGTTCCATGTATTTGATATTAAGATTTTCTGATCTTGAATAAAACACAGCGCCAATATACGGAGTGTGCCACTTAAAATAAGTAGGATTTTTTAATATTTTACAAACCAAATATTAACTTATTCCTGCTAGAGAAGGATTAATCCTTCTCTAGCAATTTAAAAAAATGTCTGTTGAACGACTACGGAGAAAGTGTTCGAATTAACAGCATGAAAATGTAAATTATCATCTTTAAAGCCGAATAAAAATCCAGTTTAAGTTCATATTTTATAAAATAAAAAAATTAAAATTTACTTAAGAATTCAAAAATCAAACAGATATTTCATTCCAACTTTTCTACCGCACTCTGGCTAATTGCAAAAATAATACAAGTTAAGCGTAAACTTACTCTGTCGTTGGGACACCTTGTGTTTAAGAATAATTGAAATTCAAGAGTCAACGCAACTGTGAGGGTTTAGTTACAAAAAAAATTGCGAGCAAACAAACCAATTTCAGCGGATGGCGGGTAGGGATCAAATGATAAAAATAACGCCAAAGCTGCGATGACGCCCCTAAAACTCGTCCGTACCTAATAACGGATATGATCAAGATTTCGTGTACTTAATCTGTACTTAGATATGGCACAATCCCTTCGTTCGTTTGAAGTAAATTAATTATTTATGAATTCGTCGCTACTCAATGTTGCTTCCAACTGTTGGCTTTGTAGTAGACGTCCTTGTACATACTGGGACACTGCTTCCCCGTCTGAAACACCGTTAGAATTATTCATAAAGCGATTTTAATCGAGCAGCGCATTAAACTGCTTAGGTAAGAATGTGGTAAGCCGGTTTTAATCTCCGGCAAACTGCGATGTTTGCGTGTAAATCTTCGCAGGCATACAAAGGCAGCCAACATTGTATCTAGTAATTCGTCTTTAGCGTATCAATCTAGCGAGTAATCAGGGATTTGGGTAGACAATAAGCTCATCGTAAATCATCGCTAAGCTGTCTCAACATCCGTATCAAGTGAGCAAACAATTGTTATTAGCACGCCCGTCTTCCAAACAATATCAAAGAGACGCTGCACGTACTGGCTAAACGTCATCAATTTGCTTGTACACCTCTGGCATGAGCCGAAACTAGTCCTTTAATAAAAGGGATAATGGGGTGGTGCACCATTAAGCAAGATCAGTTCAAATGTTCCAAAGTGTGCGCTGCGTTATTGCTGCATCGGCCGCAGTTTACGCTTCACCCACTCGCAGGTTGTTTGTGTCTCGGAAGCATGGGAAGGCGAAATTTGGAAATTGCCATCAAAACTATTAAAATTGCCACCAGGGAAAATTGACGAAACATAATCCAAATATTTACGCTGTCGAAGTGAAAAAAGTCTACTTGATTGGCGCGAACAAACAACTGCAGCTCCTCGCTTAGCTGATTGTCCCCTCCGGTTCCAATGTCAATATTTGACTGGACCTCTTTATTTGCTGCCGAGGTGACATTTCGAGTGGATATTTGCCCGTTTTGATGAGGCTCGATTTTTAACACGAAAAACACAGGAAACGCCTTCAAAGGAACGGGCGGGCTCAATACTTACGGCTGCTTTGTTTCTAACGTTAAAATCTATGTTTGTTCTCACGGGCCTGTGATGGAGGGGCTGCGGCGGCCTGAAATTATTTCCTAGGGGGGCTTTTGGGTGTTTGGAGTCGCCTTGCATCAAACGCCTCAGGCCGTGCATCTGAAACAACACAAGCTCATTTTCAGCATAATTTAACAGCTTATGACACACCATTTATTTCAAACTGAAGGATCAGATAAAATTACTTGCTACTCGAACTTTCTTTTGAATGACTATTTACCATACAGGGTGATTCAGAATTGGCATCATTTGTTTTAAGGGGTTATGGGGGTTACAAAATATTGAAAAGCTTTTTACGATAATTTCTATCACATTTAACCGCTAAAGACTGAATTTCAACTTTGTTATCAAGTATTATTTTGAAATGGTCTCATGTTTGATGGATAGCAAATTTGCATAGATTTGAGTTCAGCAGATTCATAAAATACTTAACCAACATTGTTGACGCAAAAAAAATCACTTGCTATCAAGTTAGACCTTATAACAAAAAGTGTAAAATACGCCTCAAAATTTGAGAATAGTATCGACCAAAACTCCGCAATCAATCAATGCGATTTAATAGTCACGGACTTTTGGTGGAATACTGTATAAACTGGCAAGTCGAGTAATTCGCAGCCGCATTGTTGTGCAAATGAAGCTTTTATTGGGCGCTGCGTGCTCCATAGTCGCTAGCTCAAATAATTACTATTGCATCCAGTTAGACTACGGCTATATAATCTCTTCTGACCGATTGAAATTCGTAAAAAGCATTCCAATTTGAATAGCACGTGAATTGTAACGAACTAGAATGTCTTGAGAGGTCTAATGATAACTGATGTCTTTTACAGCCAATTTTATGTTGTGTAATTGCACGCCTCTGCTGGTTTAAAACTGATGACCTCCAACACTTTGCATGGGTTAAAACACTCAGCGGCCAAATCATTGCTTCTAGCAAGTAATTAAATCCGTGAATTACGACTTTTCGCGTAAAATGCCCTTTAAGAAGTATTTATGGTCTCATGGGTTTTGTCTGGTTTTATTTTGAGGCGGTGGCTCATAAAGCGAGTACTTAAGTTTTATTTTAGAATCACCGGCCACTAACATTGGCCCAGTCGCTTTGCACCTGCCTATCTAAGCTTGCACCAGAATAAACATAATTTCTGTGTTGCCTACGTATCTCATGTGTAGCCTTCTATCTTCTTCTGGTTCTTTAAATTGCCACTCAACTGCAAAACCCACGAGGAAGCTTTCTTCTAACCGCTGCGATATAAACCTTAACTATTCTTGTAAACAATGAGAACTGATGAGGCACGCAGCAGGGGCGGATCCAGCTTGCAAGTCAGGAGGTGGGGTCATCTTGTAGAAATTCAGTATTCAGTGTTCTCTTATAAAATTAGAAAAATTATCGTTTGTCGACATAAACCCAACACAAGGAGGGTCATGAACCCCATGACAACCATGATGAAATGGTTGGTCATGAGACATTGGTATCGATGGATAGAGATTTAGAAATTCGATTCAGTCATAACATCATTTGATTTCATTGACACCAAAATTGTTTGATAAAATTATAGTTTCAAAGTTTACACCTCTCTTTGAACATTTAATTATCGATGAACAGCATGGTTTTTGTAGAGGAAAATCAACTGTGACCAATTTGGCTGTGTATTCTGAGGACTTGTTGAATGTCATGGGGAGTCATGAGCAGATTGATGCAGTTTATACTGACTTCTCGAAGGCGTTCGACAGAGTACCTCACAAAATTTTGATGTTCAAGATGGAAGCTTTGGGACTTGGCGACAATTTATGTCAATGGTTGGAGAGTTACCTTCTTAATAGAACTCAGACAGTCATCTTGAATAATCAAGACAAATCTAAAAATAATTTCTGCTACCTCTGGTGTACCACAGGGTGGACATCTGCCCCCTTTGCTATTCGATTGCTGTCAATGATATATGTGTTAATGTAAAATATTGTAAGTTTTTATTATTCGCTGATGATTTAAAGCTTTATTCAAGAATAACCTGTACTGATGATTGTTTAAATGTACMAGCGGATTTAAATGCTCCGAATAACTGGTGTGAAGTTAATTTTTTGCAATTGAACATATCTAAGTGCAAGGTTATGCGGTTCTCCCGTCTAAAACAGATAATTTTATTTCCATATATGATAAAACAAGTTGAAGTGGAATCAGTGAATGTATAAAGGATTTGGGTGTGTACTTTGATGCTAAGATTTCATTTAATTACTACATTGATATCACCAAAAATAGAGCCTTAAAAATGTTGGGATATCTTAAACGAACAACTAAAGACTTCAGTAGTATTAAATGTATAAAACTGGTGTATATGTCTTGGGTCAGGAGTATCTTCGAATATGCCAATATTATATGGTCATCTAGTTATCATGTACATATAAATAAGATAGAAATTATTCAAAATAAATTTCTAAGATACTGCGCCTACAAGACATCTATGCCTTTAGATGATTTGGTTTACCAACGATTACGACATCAATTAGAAATTCAAACGCTTGAACATAGAAGCTTGGAAAGCGGAATGATATTTTTATTTAAATTAATTAACTACCATATAAATTGCCTTTATTTGCTCAGTAAATTGAATTTCCATGTTCCTAAGAGAACGGTCAGAAGTCAATCTATATTTTACTTGACAGCTTATATCACCAATTACAGTCACTTTATGATTATCGACAGAGTATGCAGGACTGCTAACAATTTAGATTTGTAATATTTTTATATTWCTTTGGGAGCATTTAAGTCCGAACTAAATCTGAAGGTACCCATGTAATTTATTTATTGATTATTTATCTGTTATTGTTATATGTGAATTTTTATTGAATGTTAATATTTTCATACGCATTGTATAATTCGCCATGGATTTTTTCCCGTTTAATAAATTTGAATTTGAACATGAGTGAGAAAATTAGAGTAGTTTTGACCCAGAGAGCGAAATTTGAATGTAAGACATTTAGGTGCAAGATTATGCCAAAAGTTAATGTTTTCCGTCTCGTTTTTGCTCGTTTTTCGGAAGCAAAATGAGCAAGAATTATAATTTTTACATCATTCCACAGAAATGGCATTTTTGGAAAGTGAACCATCGATAAGGAAATATTGCCAGTTTTCTCACAAAAGTCTTGATTTCAAGAAGTTTTAGATTTGCGTGTGTCTTTTTGAGTTGCAAAATTGTCTCAAACATGACGCTGCGTTTTTCGAAGTTTTTCCAAGACCATTTGATCCAGCAGCGTCATGTTTGAGTCGATTTTGCAACTCAAAAGGAAAACTCGCAAATCTAAAACTTTTTAAAATCAAGACTTTTTAAGAAAACTGACAACATTTTTTCACTTCCACAAAGAACAGTTTTAACCCAGAAAGAAAATTTTGAATGACCTGTAAGATGTCTTGTTTTTCGTCCCGTTTTTGCTCACTTCTCGGAAACAAAATGAGCAAAAACGGGACGAAAAATATGAAATTTTAGCATAACCTTGCACCTAAGTGTCTGATATTCAAATTTCGCTTTCTGGGTTAAAACTGTTCTTTGTGGAAGTGCAAAAATGTTCTCTCTGGAATACCAGAGAGAACTAAATGACCGTTTTTAGCAAGTGAACCATCGAAAAGGAAATGTTGGCAGTTTTCTCAAAAAGTCTTGATTTCAAGAAGTTTAGATTTGCGTGTTTCCTTTTGAGTTGCAAAACCGACTCAAACATGACGTTGATTTTTTCAAAATTTCTCAAGGACTATAAAAATAAAGTGAACCATTTGAAAAGCAAAATTTCGTTATTTTATTGGCTATTTAAAACGCCCCTGTAATCCTCACAGCTTAAAGTTTTCGCCTCGATCTACTGCCGTATGCACTAATAGTCAGCCGGGTTCTAAACAGCCCATCTATAATTTCTTGCTGAATATGATTTAAATTCATTTTATTTCAATCATAAGCTAATATTGGCCTTAGCTTAACTTCCCGGGCAAAGTTGAGCGTTTACCTTATGTCTAACGGGCTATTACAGCTCGTTATGCTGGATATTGTTGGAGTTGCATAATTTCGCTAAGGCCCCGTTTTCACTGTGTGATTTATTCATGGCGATTTTTTGATGATGTTGTTAAGCTCGTATTGATCTAGGCAGCGCGTTGTTTCCTACTGGTCACAGCTAGAGATTTGCCTTTTTGCCTTTTGGAATGATTCCGGCGAAAAACAACAGATCGGCCCGAATTCCAGCATTTACCGAGGGATTTTTGCATCCGAGGCAAACAATTTGCTGCAGGAAAGCCATAGCAGACATCTGATGGCGGAAAATTTACATTGATTTGTTTATTTTCGCTTGAGCACGGCAGTTGAACCGTGCTCGGTCTGTTGGCCGTTTATTTTTATAACGATGCTTAGTATTCCCGTAAAACAATTTAACCCGTCGACTTTGCTTGTTTGGTCACGTAGCCAACGAACTGACATTGCTCGTGTTTAGCGCATTTTTTTTATTTTCCTCCCACATAAACAGTCAGGTTTGCCATCAAAGTGAATTGCCGCAAAAAAGGGCTCGAGCTTCAATGTGATGTTGTAAGGGAACGCTCACTAACCGAACCCTTAACAGTCCTTCATTTAGCTTACAGCAGGGCAACGGACATTTCTGATTTAATAGACAGAACGAACAGTGGTTCATTCATCCAGAACCAGGGACGTTTTGGTTTTAGCAAAAGTTAAAGAGTCACATATATAACAGATTTTTAGGTCAACATATAATACAATAATTTTTCGCAGCAAGACGGTGCATCATTTCAGATTTGTTAAATCTGAATTTTGACAACCAGTGGCTAAGCGGGCCTATAAGATGGCCCCCATGATCGCCAGACTTGACTCCATTGGATTTTTTTAGAGCAGTGTTACCCAAATGTCTCGAAGCTGCGGACCCCCAAAATTAAACGCTAGTATCATGGGAATTCCCAGAAACAGTTTCGTTACAACAATAAAAATATAGCAACTCTTCGGTTGTAATGCGGTTATGTTATTAATGCAATTAATAATTGTTAAAATACTTGAGTAATGAGTAATAAAAAATCAAAATAAAATTCATTGATAACATTATAATTATAATACTTTATCACAATT